CTGCTTGGCCCTTGTGGAGGAAGGCTCATATGAGAAAACTGTGGCTCAGAGAGGTTAAGGAACTGGCCTAGGGTCACCAGCAAGTTGGTGAGAGAGGAGCTGTGAGATGGAGCTAACAACATGCAGTGATTGATCTGTCAGCAGGAGGAGCTGGAAAGCTCTTCCCAGTGGTCCATCCAGAGGCTCGGGGAGTCTCTCTGGCTTGGTGACATTGTGGAAGGCTGAAGTAGGAGGAAGCTGGGTGATGGACATGGTCTGGGCACAGTGTAGCCCTCCACATTGGAGAACCAGAGTCACAGTGAAAGGGATGTCACAGAGTAATTGCAGTACAGGAGGCTGTAGTCTATGGGGTAAGGTGCACTCTTGGGCCGAGATGGTCATGGGTTTCAATCCCAGCTCATTCACTTGCTTGTTATGTGACTTTGGACAAGTGACTTAACCTATGAGCCTCAGTTTGCCCCTTTGAAAAATGGGGATAGAGGCTCCTAACTCACAGATTGCAGCGAGGGCTCAATGAGACAATCCTTGTAAAGCCTTAGCACAGTGCTGGGTAGATACATAAAAAGTGCTCAACTGCGAGTTCCCTGGTGGCCTAGTGGTTAGGATTCTGGGCTTTCACTGCTGTGGCCCTGGGGTTCAATCCCTGGTCGGGGAACTGAGATCCCGCAAGTCACGTGGCAAAAAAAAAAGAAGTGCTCAACCAACACTATCCTTTATTAATAATAATTACAGTTGCTTTTCCATGAGCCCTGATTTTTCATCATAGCCCCTCAGCTGTGCATGGTGACTTCCCCTGTTCAGGATCCTCCCTGAGGTGGGGTGCAGGGAAGAAACCCCAGAGCCCAGCCCCAGACCTGGTCAGCTGCCACTAACTTGCTGACCTGCAGAAATAGTCAGCCACCACACAAACCTCCACTGGCCACACCAGAGTCCTTGAGCATCCACCAGCCTCTGAACACTGCCCGTAAGTTCACACACAGTGGTCTGAGCTTCGTGGAGACAAACAACCCAGCCAACAGGAAACCACGTTAAATCCTGAAGAGCTAATGACACCACCATTCTGATCATCACGTGAGGGCTGGTTTAGAATCCTGGCACCCACTGGGTGCTGGGTAAGTGGTAGGAGGTGGTAGTTATTATTATTGCTGTTGTTCCTGCTGTTAACTATCAGAGCCCCAGGGAGGGGGCCACACTTCCCCTGTGACTATTCCCCGCTCTTCTCTGCCTCTCCTGTATGTTCGGGCAATAAGGCATGGTTGTGTCTACACACACCCCTCACCATTGCTCACCTCTAGGCCTTGGCTTTGCTGTTCCCTCCACCTGGATTATCCCAGCCCTCACCTTCCCCATCTACAATCTGATAAACTCCTACTCACTCTGCAAGATTCACCGGGGGGTCACCTCCTCCAGGAAGCTGATCCCACTGCCTTAGGATGCTTCCACAATGATGTGTTTTGCCCCACTCTTCTGTGGTACTTACAACGCGTGCACAATGCATATGGGATTGCACATACACATATGAATTTATGCATAAATACTTAACCAATTATGCTTGTGTGTTCAGGAAATCAGTGAATGAAAGTGACCTTGGGCAAGTCATTCACCTTCTGGGGCTCAGTTTCCTCATCTTCAAAATGAGGGGCTCAGACTCAATTGGTCACGTACTGAAGGGTCACACATTCACTCAGCAAACAGCAAATAATGGCTGCTCTGAGGTCTCTGTTCAGGGCCCCAGCCACAGAGGAGATAAGAAAGCCCCATCCTCTCCCAGTGAGGAGACAGTCTGCTTACTGCCAGTGTGCTCTCACCATTTCCCAGGTTCACAGACACTGCGACTGGGAATTATTTTGTCTACTATGTATTAGTGTACTGGCTCTCAAAAACATTTGTGTGGCTTTAAATGGACACACACAGCCCTGGAGATTCAGAAGAAAAAAAATTGGGGAGTGGTGGTACATCTTTATTTTTTAAAAGACCCACAACTACTTTTACTGGGCATCTAGAGAATTACTGTATTAGAGGTCCATGATTTGGTTTTACGGATTTCATGACAAAGCAGAGCTAAAACAGCAAAGACACTTGACATTTCAGATCCTGGCTTGGGGTACAGGGTCTGTTGGATGGTGAGTGTTCGAGGGGGCTTGGCACCTCTTGCAGGACCCTTAGGGAGGGGGCTCTGGCTTAGATGGTTCCCCTTGCTTCAGGACCCTTTTTTAGCTCTGGACCCTCTCAATCTCCTGCTGTCTATCCTGCTCTGCCCCAGCCTGTCCAGCCATGGTGCGGAGAGCAAAGACTGTCCCACCCAGGAGCCTCATCTCTAGCACCTTGTCTTTGCTGCACCAGGGGGATGTTAGGGATGCTCTCCTGAGTCTTGGTGAGGGGGACCCATGGTCCCACAGTCTGTAGACGATGCAAGCAAGCCCCGTCTAGATGGAGGCTTTTTTTTTTTTTCTCTTGGAGAGTTCAGCTGAAGCTGCCAGCTCTGCAGGATCAGAGGGCAGAGGTGCAGGCCATGGGAACCACCTGGGGCCACATACAAAGTTGGGGTGGCGGTTCCCACAAGCAGTGTTAACCATCTCAGCAACTTCTCTAGTGAGCCCATGTGTCCTATGCTCACCCCTCACTCTCCCAGCTCAGGCTTTGTTCTGGGGAGAGCCTCCAGTGAGCTATTTAATCTGGTTGGCCTTTTGGGGTAAGAAAGACCTGTACCCTTCCCAAGTGGGAGCTGGAACCCTTTCTCTCCTCAAACTCAAACTCAGATGCCCTGGGCTGGGTCCTCGAAGCACAGTGCCCCAGTGGGGATGGTGACCCCCAGCAGGCTCCCCTGCCTGGGGGAACCTCAGCTACCCTGGGGCTTGACCCTCAAAGCTATGCTCTGCCTGGCACATCCTCTCCCTGAACATCTATATGGAGAGAGGGGGAGAAGGGTGGGGAATGAGGTCCTGAATCTGGACCTCTCTGCAACGCCCCCCACCCCCGTCCCTTCTCCACACATGGGCCAGAGTGAGCCTCTTAAAAGGCAAATCAGGGCATATTGCATCCCGCTAACCCCCCACTGCTTTCCCAGCTGCCTTAGAATCATGAGTGATCTGTGGCCCCTCTGACCTCATCTCTCACTCTTCTTCCTGAGCCCCCTCCCAGCCCCACTGGCCTTCTTTGAAAAGGCCACTAACAGGCCAACCCTAGGGCCTCTGCACTAGCTGTTCCCTTCACCTGGAGTGCCCTTCCCCCTTATCTTTGTCTTTCTTGTCACTCAGATATCAGCTTAGACGCACCTCCTCAGAGGTCCTCCCTGACCACGGGATCTAAAGTAACTGATAATCACTTTCTGTGACAGCAGCTTGTCTTGATCCCCCGCACAGCACTTACTCCAGACTCATAGCTATATCTAGTTTGTTTATTATCTTCTCTCCTCCCCTCCCCGCAGGGTGCAAAGTACCACCCCCAGAGGGCAGTGGCCTCCGCCGTTGTCCCCTACAGAATCCCACAGTGGTCTAGAAGAGGCCTGGCTTACAGTAGGGGCTGTACACAGTTGTCCAATGAATGGCTTAACAGCTGTAAATGGGGACATCAGCTGGGGCGCGGGCGCGCGCGCCAGGCCGTGGCGCTCACGGTCGAGTGCGCGGATTTTATCTCGTTGCGGGTCCCGGGGGAGGGACGCCCACCTCTGGCCGGCTGGCAGCAGACGCGCAGTAAATGCACTTCAGGGACGCGAGGACAAACGAGACGGACTCACACAGCCAGTGGGAGGACCCGGGTGCCGGGCCAGGCTGCGGTGGGGAAGGCTTTTCGCCGCCGACTCGGCGCCCCCACAGTTAAGACCCCAGTGGGAGACCATCCTCCACCTTCCCCAGTGGTCTCCACGTCGTGAATCACAGATTCTCTCCCGAATTCCGGGACGAGCGGTCGGGTTGGCGGGGGAACGGTGCGTGTCCCCGGCGCCCTCGCCCCCTCCTGGCAAGGAAGAGGGTACGGACCGTGCTCCGGGACGGTTGGCGAGGCCAGGGCCTTCCCGGTGCGCAACCCGGGGCTGGAATGGAACGCCGCAACCTCGGCGCGCTCCGGCAGGGGACGGGGGTGGAAATGGGGGCGGAGGAGCCGAGGGCAGGGAAGGGGACAAAGAGCCGCTCTGCCGCCGGGGAGAGCGACCCCCGTATCAGAGTCCTATTGTCCGTCGTATCTCACACTAAGCTGGACTCTGGTGCCCCCGGGAGGGAGAAGGGGAGCTGTCCTTCGGATCTTGGGTATTTGTTTATTTGGGGCGGGGGAGGCCGGGCGGGGCACGCGGGCCCAGGAAGGGGCTGGGCGACCATTTCCGCGCGTCTCCTTTAAGGGAAGCCCTGCCCTACCTTTCCCACCTTCCCCCTCCTTGCAGCCGTACCTGCATTTTAAAAGCGCCCTGTAGCCCTGGGATTGGCCGAGGCCGCGTCCTCCCGGCGCAGAAACTTGAACCGCCAGTGGACTGTACCATCTCCACGGCGTCCCCCGCTTGCGCCCCGCCCCTCCCGCACACCCCCGGAGAGGCCCAATTGGACGGGCGTGGGGGCGGGACCACGGCTCGAGCGCGCCTGTGGCAGGGCCCCGGGCGGGCGGGCGCACGGCGCGGGGGGACGTGGGGGCCGGCCGTGCCTCGCCCGCTCCCATCCCCGGAGGCGGGGCCGGGCCGCGGCGCCCCGCCCCTCCCCGCCCGGAATGGGCGGGGCGGCTGGGGCTCCGGAGCTGGGCCGGGGGCGGGCCTCCGCTTGCTTCGCCTAAGCCCGGAGAGAACCCGGCACTGCAGCCGCCGACGCAGCAGTGGTCCCAGCTCGCTGAACCTCGAGCCACGCGGGTTCCCGGGCGGCCCGGGAGGGCGCTGCGTGAGGGCGCGCGAGGCGGCGCGGGGCAGGCCGCACAAGCCCCTGGTCGCCCCCCGCCCGCGGGCGGACCGGCCCAGCGCAGCCCCGGCACGGGGAGCGCCGGCCGGGCGAGGGCGCGGGCGATGCCGCGGTGACGGCCCCGCCATGGCGAAGCCCCCGGCGGCGGCGGCGGCGGCGGCGGCGTCGTCGGAGGAGCTGAGCCAGGTGTCGGACGAGGAGCTGCTGCGCTGGAGCAAGGAGGAGCTGGCACGGCGGCTGCGGCGCGCCGAGGGCGAGAAGGTGGGCCTCATGCTGGAGCACGGCGGCCTGATGCGCGACGTGAACCGGCGGCTGCAGCAGCACCTGCTGGAGATCCGCGGCCTCAAGGACGTGAACCAGCGGCTGCAGGACGACAACCAGGAGCTGCGCGAGCTCTGCTGCTTCCTCGACGACGACCGGCAGAAGGGGCGCAAGCTGGCGCGCGAGTGGCAGCGCTTCGGGCGCCACGCGGCCGGCGCCGTGTGGCACGAGGTGGCCCGCTCGCAGCAGAAGCTGCGCGAGCTCGAGGCGCGCCAGGAGGCCCTGCTGCGTGAGAACCTGGAGCTCAAGGAGCTGGTGCTGCTGCTGGACGAGGAGCGCGCGGCGCTGGCGGGGGGCGCGGGCGGCGGCGGCGGCGGCGGCGGCGGCGGTGGTGGTGGTGGCGCCGGCTCCCGTAGCTCCATCGACAGCCAGGCCAGCCTGAGCGGGCCGCTGGCGGGCGGCGCGGCCGGAGCGGGGACCCGCGACGTGGGCGACGGCAGCAGCACGTCGAGCGCCGGCAGCGGCGGCAGCCCCGACCACCACCACCACGTCCCGCCCCCGCTGCTGCCCCCCGGGCCGCACAAGGCCCCGGACGGCAAGGCTGTCGCAACGCGCAGGTCCCTGGACGACCTGTCGGCGCCACCGCACCACCGAAGCATCCCCAACGGCCTGCACGGTAAGGACGGCACCTGCCTGGCGGCGCGGGTCTCGGGCCCAGAGTCCCTTCCCCCGCGGGCGGCCGCCACTCCAGACCCCTCCACCAGCTGGCATCCAGAGAGATCCCGAGCCCACCCGCAGTGGGGCTTTGGGTGGTGATTTTCTGGTTAAGTGATGGAGGCGTGTCCCTGCCCCTCTGAATACAAAGCGGGCCGAGGACCGCCAGACCCCAGAAAAGTTTCTCTCCTGCGGATTTTATCAGTATCAGAGTCTGGCACTGTAGGGCTGGCCGGAGGCACTGCATCCCTGCCTGGAAACCGTTGTCCGGGAGCGGGAAGTTTTTAATGGAAAAGAAAGAAAGGCCCTTTGAGGAAAAGTGAAATTCCCTCTCTTATCTGGAGCAACAGGCAGCCCCATACCTAAGCAGTGTTCACCTGTGTGCTGGGGCTGGAATTCCACCTGACCTTCTCCCTGCTGCCTGACCGCTGGGAAGGATCACAGGCAGGTGGGCCAGAGTACCCGGGGCTAAGAGCCTTCCTCGGTTGTTGTTAGTCCTGCCTTTCTCAGGGCTCAGGGACCTTTCTCAACCCAGGCTCTAAAACTTTCCAGAGGAATACGGGCTTGGAATGAATCCTGGCTTTTTGTCTCTGCAGGCCTCGGTTTCCTTATCTGTAGAATGGAGCCGATAATCCCTACCTCCTGGATTTGAGGTGGAGATAAAAGCCTCTGAAGGGTTTGTAAACTGTTGGTCACCTTACAGGAAGTGCCACAGTCATCTGCGGTGGCCAGGGTGTGGGTGGGAGGACCTTTGGCCTCAGGAAAGCTCAGCTACTGTCTTCCACGCCTGTGTGACTGTCGGGCCCAAGGCAGAGGGCTCTGTAGGAGCGGAGCAGCCGGCCCCCATCCCCAGCCCTCTGATCAGTGGTTCTTCCTGCTGCCTGTCTCCTCTCCCACCTCCCTGTCCTTCCACATTTTTAGTGGCTTGGCTCCTACTTCTGGTGGCAGTTGCTGCTGCCTGAACTATTTGCCTGAAGGTGGAGATTAAACAGCCCTTTCTGGTTCTCCTTAAAGGCTTTCCTAGTTCAGAGAAAGTGTATCTAGGCTTTAAGTGACTGTTCTTCTCCAGAGTGACAGCCTGGAGGGGGGGTGGGGTGCGGACAGGGCGCTCTCTCTTTGGTTTTGTGGCCAAGTGGCCTCTGCAGGTGCCTTGGGGGGGTGGCGGGCTGGGGTGGGAACTGGACCCCAGGAGGTGGGGTGATAGCCCAGCACGGTTTTTCCTTCGTTTACCTTTCCCAGCCTGTGAGTTCAGGGCAGGACTAGGTTTAGAGGGATATTTTGTTACTGATTAGCAATCTAAGGCTACAACTTGGGTTTCTCTCGGTAACTCTGTATCCACCCCACCTCCCACCAGCAGTCTCCTTAAGGCCAGTGGGAGTAGCTCAGCGTTAGGCAGTTTAATATGTTAAGGTTGCACCATCTGGGAAGTGAGGAGTCCCAGGCCCAGCCTCTCCGGCCTCGGCTTCTTGGGGGTCTTGGGAGGGTCAGATTTCTGGGCCTCGGTTTGCCCGAGTGCAGTACGAGGCGGGGGGTTGCTGCAGTCCTGCCTGTGGCTAGGAAATGAAATGTTTCTGGTTTTCAGCTGCGTCATTAATGACACTTGGCGAGGGCGATTCTCAGCAGGGCACTGAAGCGCCGGAGTGTCAGAGCATATTTGCTGAGAAGTTCTGTCATGTTTTGGACAAGGAGACGCGGACCCCGTCTGGCTCAGCGTTTTGCTGCCTCAGTGAACGGAGCAGGAGTGAGGTTCCCACCCCACTGGGGGAGGGCGGGACGGGTGGAGCTGTAGGGTTTCCTGCAGAACCCATGCTGCCACCAGTGCCATGCACACTCGGAACAGGACTGCCACAGATTTTGTGGTGGCAAAGCTTTGTGTTGGGGTGACATAAACATTCAGCATTATTATCATGAATTTCAGTTACAGGTGGGATCGCTGTCGTTTAGTATTGTCTCATAAAGTCAGGCGTGGCCTTGAGTTCTCCCAACAATATGAGTAGGATGCCTGGAAACAAGGAAAGGCCCATCTCTTAGAAACCACTTTTCTATACTCGGACCTGTAGTTTTGAGCGGAGAGCGAGCCAGAGATGAGGCAGGTAACAGGCCTCAGTCTGGGTGGTGGCAAAAGGAGTCAGGTACCGGGCTTGTGCCTCGGGCCCTTATCCCCGTATTACAGCCAAGTAAGTGGAGGCTCAGAGAGGTTCTGAGTGTTTCCTGGGAAAGCAACTGAGATTCAGATGTCTCAGTCCCAGTTGCCTGGGTGGTGCCCTGGGGGTCCTCTACTGCCCAGACCGTGGGCTGGCTTGCGTCTCCGGCAGCCCGCTGTCATTGTGGCCGATAATATTCATCAGCAGACACTGCTGACTCCCTATTCTTGGTTCCTGACCCAAGTTTGCCCTCCTTCTCCTGTCCTGGGAAGTGTCACTTCCTTATCGGTGACCACTGAGCAGATGGCTGATAACCCCGTTACCCAGAGGGCTCAGACTGTCTCGTGTTCAAGTCTACACTCTTCCCTCTTCTCTTTGGCCAGTTACTTAACTGCCCTGAGCCCCTTTCTGCTCTTCTGTAGAGTGGGGCAAAACCCAAAGTGCCCCCTTTATCCCTACACACAGTGGGCCTCGACAGTTGTCAGAATCCTTGCCGTGCATACTCCTTCCAAGGCTCCTCATGAAAAAGAGAGGGACCTGTTGGGGGTTTGCCAGATAGACATCGGTGTTGTCTTTGAAACTCTGCTGTTTAGACAGACAGCTCGCTTGAATGTCTGCGGCTGAGCCGGTGTCTGGTGGCACTTGCGGATGTGCTGGGGAGCAGTGGCCCTGTAGTCCTCTCTCTCGGAAGCTGCAGGGTACCTGCAGCCCTTCTGGATGCCGTAAGGGCCCTAAGCAGCTGTGGTGGGTGGTGGCCCATCGGTATTCCAGGCCGTCCCTGGCTGGGGCTGGGACTGGTGGGCCTGTGAATGGGGATGAAAATAGGCCTTTCTCTGGGTTGTTTTGTTTTGTTTTGTTTTGATAGAGGTCTGGGCTGGGCTGACTGAAGTCTGGACTGGGATGCTCTTTACTCTAATCCGGTGGGGCAAACTGAGGCAGGCGAACCCCAAACATCAGAAGGTCAGGTTTGCCACTTTGAACCGATGCAATTTCCAAACAAAAGTATTTTCAACAATTCTCCCCTCCCCCTCCCCATCCTGGGTGTCCCACCTCTTTCTCCCTTCCCCCCCCACGCCCCCATTCACATCTGTCCCAGTCCCCCCATCACACCACGGGGTCCACTCCCCTTTAGCTAACCCACAGAAACCGGGGCCTCCAGCAGCCTTTGTGTGGGCCCTGTTTACTTTTAAAAGTTTGGATTAAAAATTTGAGCTTCTCAAAATAAGATGGGTTTGTCCTCCTGCTTGTGTTTTTGTTGGTTTAAAGGGAGGATGGAGCGAGGGTGGTCTGGGCCTCTGGCCCTGAATAGGTCTTTTATGAGGGGCCTCCCAGCTCAGCAGCTCCTGGGCAGGATGCTAATAAGGCAGCTTTTCCTAAACCCAGTCAGGCCTGGGGGCAAAGGTCACTAAAGACAATGGGGCAGGTTGAATAAGCTTTTCCCCCTCCCTCCGCATCCTGACCCTGGCCATCCGTCACTGGCCTTGGGGTACTGGCCTTGGGGTACGGAGCCCCCAGGGCCACATACCAAAGGGGGCTGGTGGTAAGGAGCTCACTGGCCTGTAACCCAGGGTGGGACCAGGGTGTGCCCAGCACTTCACAGTTTACCACAGAGGGTGTCCCAGTCCCAGCTCCATTCTGTTCAGAGCTCCCAAATGGTCCCATATCGCAGGTGGGGAAACTGAGGCATGGAGCGGTATGGTGACTTGCTCCCAGTCCCGTGGGCTGGCTGGGGGGCCTGGGATCAGTCTGGGGAATCGGTCTTGGCCTCCGGTGTCAGTCTGGGCCTGCCGCCCTGTGCCTGCTGCCCCTCTGGACCGGGACAGCCTGAGACTCCCATGGGAGACCCCCGCCAACAGTGGAAGGCTGTCCGGAGCTTGGTCCTGGGCAGGTTCCCCTGTAGATGGACCCAGGCAGGATGGGGCAGGAGCTCCAGGGGCTGGACCTGTGTAGCAAAGGTGTGGCACCTGTTCTCAGTCCAGACCCAGAGGTTCAGTCATGCTGTCCTGCTTCCTGGCATGACGGTTCACAGTTCCGGACATCAGTGGGATGGGGAAAGCGCAGGCTTCCGCGCACGGAGTCCCTCCTCACTTATATTTTTCATTCCCTCGCTTCCCTGCCAGGCTGGTTTCCCTCTGCCGTTGTGGCCCCAGCAGACCCCTTACCCATGGCCTGAGCTCTGAGTTCTTAGGACACACACTTGGTTTCGTATCGTTCCCGGGGCAGCGCGATTAGCAAGGAAATCCTCTGCTGCTCATCATCTGTGTTTTGCACCCACGGGGATTTTCTGTGCCGTGTTTGTCCTTGTCATCAGCACAAGGAATTGGAAGCCTACGACCCTGCTCGAGTTCCAGGACCCCTGTGGACCTCTGTTTTCTCATCTGCAAAGTGGGAAGCTGTTGCCTGCCTTTGGGTTGAGGGAGGAGGGAGTGTGGTGATGTGTGTAAACTGTGCAGCGCGTGTGAGGTGGCAGCTTACTGCACCTCGAAGCCTCATCTGTGTCTCGAGGATGATACTACTCTGGTCCTAGAACTGAGCCTTAAAGGATGGGTTCAGTGACCCTCCACTGTCACCTGGACCCTGCAGACTTGCCTCCTCGGGGTGGGGATGGGGGACCCCCTGACACATGCTCGTGAGGGGGGCCCTTGTGCCCACCCCGTGTCAGAGCCAAATGAGTTGTTGTCTAGTTGCACAGAAAGGGGGTGGCATTCCAGCAGCAGCAGCAGGTCTGCAGGTGGATCTGGGCCGTGGGTGCCGAGAGCCCAGGGCCTGCGAGGTGTTCTCATGACGCGTGGGGGAGGCCCGGGGCCTGGAAGCCTCC